AGGTTGAGTAGAGGCCTTCCCAGCCAGAACAGAAAAAGTATTAGAAGTGACAAAAGCTCTTCTTAAGGACATTATTCCTAGGTACAGCCTTCCCTCTACTATTCAGAGTGACCATGGATCTGCTTTCATAGCAGAAATAACACAAACAGTAAATAAAGCTTTAGGTATATAATGGAAACTTCGCTCAGCATGGAGACACCGATCTATGAGAAAGGCTAAGAAGATGAATCACACCATGAAGAACTTTTGCTAAGCTATGCCAGGAAACTCATCTAAAATAGAACAAGGGCTTGCCAATTGCTCTCCTCCATATGTGGGTGGCCCCTAGAAGCAGGCGAGGGTTGAGCCCTTAAGAAATTATATACAGGCGACCATTCTTGGCTCCTAAGAGTAAAGAAAGAAAAACAGTTCATGGTTCTGGGAAAGTTGGACAGCTGCATGTAAATCAATGAAGTTAGAACACACCCTCATACCATGCACAAAAATAAACTAAAAATGGCTTAAAGACTGAAACGTAAGACATGACACCATAAAACTCCTAGAAGAGCACAGGCAAAACATTCTGACATAAATCGTACCAATGTTTTCTTAGGTCAGTCTCCCAAAACAAAAATAAACAATGGAACCTAATGAAACTTACAAGCTTTTGCACAGCAAAGGAAACCACTCAAAAAATGAAAAGACAACCTACATACGGAATGGGAGAAAATATTTGCAAATGATGAGACAGACAAGAGTTAATCTCCAAAATATACTAACAGCTCATACAACTCAACAACAAAAAAACAAACAACCCAGGGAATTCCCTGGAGGTCCAGTGGTTAGGACTGTGTACTTTCACTGCTGAGGGTGCGGGTTTCATCCCTGGTTGAGGAACTAAGATCCTGCAAGCTGCACAGTGGGGCCAAAAAAACAAACAACAACAACAAAAAAAACAAAAAAAAAGAAAAAAAAACACCAATCAAAAAACAGGCAGAAGACCATAATAGACATTTCTCCAAAGAAAACATTTAGATGGCCAGTAGGCATGTGAAAAGATGCTCAACATCACTAATTATTAGAGAAATGCAAATCAAAACTACAATGAGGTACCACTTCATACCAGTCAGAATCCCCATCATTAAAAAGTCTACAAATAACAAATGCTGGAGAGGGTGTGGAAAAAAGGGAATTCCACTCTTGGTGGGAATACAAGTTGGTGCAGCCACTATGGAAAACAGTGTGGAGGTTCCTCAGAAAACTAAAAATAGAACTACCATATGATCCAGGAATCCCGATCCTGGGCATATACCCAGACAAAACTATAATTCAAAAAGATACATGCACCCTATGTTCACAGCAGGACTATTCACAATAGCCAAGACATGGAAACAACCTAAATGTTCAACAGATGAATGGATAAAGAAGATGTGGTACACATAAAAAATGGAATACTACTCAGCCATAAAAAGAATGAAATAATGCCATTTGCAGCAAGCATGGATGCAACGAGAGATTATCATACTAAGTGAACTACGTCCGAAAGACAAATACCATATATCTGACTTACATGTGGAATCTAAAATAGGGCACAAATGAACCTATCTACAAAACAAACAGATTCACAGACAGAGAACAGACTTTTGGTTGCCAGGGGAGAGGTGGGGAGGTGGGGAGGCAGAGGGATGGACTAGGAGTTGGGGGTTACTGGATGCAACTGTTACATTTAGAATGGATGAACAGGGACTTCCCTAGCAGTCCAGTGGTTAAGACTTTGCCTTTCAATGCAGAGGGTGTGGGTTTGATCCCTGGTCAGGGAGCTAAGATCCCACATGTCTCGTGGCCAAAAACCAAAACATAAAACAGAAGCAATACTGTAACAAATTCAATAAAGACTTAAAAAAAAAATGGTCCATTTAAAAAAAAAATCTTAAAAAAACAAAAAGAATGGATAAACAACAAGGTCCTACTATATAGCACAAGGAACTATAGCCAATCTCCTGGGATAAACCATAATGGAAAGACTATAAAAAAATAATGTAGGGCTTCCCTGGTGGCACCGTGGTTAAGAATCCGCCTGCCAATGCAGGGGACACAGGTTCGAGCTCTGGTCTGGAAAGATCCCACGTGCCACGGAGCAACTAAGCCCGTGCACCACAACTACTGAGCCTGTGCTCTAGAGCCCATGAGCCACAACTACTGAAGCCCACACGCCTAGAGCCCATGCCCCGCAACAAGAGAAGCCACCACAATGAGAAGCCTGCATGCCACAACAAAGAGTAGCCCCTGCTCGCTGCAACTAGAGAAAGACCGCGCACAGCAGCGAAGACCCAATGCAGCCTAAAAAAAAAAAAAAGTATATATGTGTATAACTGAGTCACTTTTATATAACAGAAATTAGCACATGGTAAATCAACTATACTTCAAATAAATAAGTTAAGCAGTATGTACAACAGACTGGTCAATTGTTAACCGCTAAGCATGAGTTTGTGTCTCACAGGTCTCCCCCTCGCCTGGAAGCTCCCTTTCATCCCTTCAAAGCAGGAGACAGGGTGCTGCTGAAAGTGTGGAAAGAACAAGAACCTGAGCAGCAGCTTGAAGAGAAATGGAAGGGAGCCTATGATGTTCTTACCACTCATACCTCTCTGAAACTGGATGGAGTAAAACCATGGGTACATCACACTAGAGTAAGATGATCACCAGAGACTGACCAGCCACGCCTGCCTACAGCCAGCGAACAAGACTCCTAAGAAGTGGACATCTCACTCTTTGGGAAACCTTAAGTATTTGTTCCGACAAGTGTAATGAAGTTTTGTTTTCTTATTCTTTCTCATACCTTTTACTTTTCCCCACAAAACTATAGATTCATATGCTGATTCTCTTGATAATTCATAACTGCTGGATATGTGGTGAGCTTCCTATTTCCGAGTCTTCAGGGTGGACTTGGTGAGTTTTCCCCCTTACAGGGAACTGTTTGGAAACAACTGGCTACAACAGCCCAGTTCCAGACTGGGTTTCCGATTTATTCTCCTGAATTTCTAAGGAAGTGAGATCTACATCTACTAAAGATCCAGTTGTCACTCGTTTTACCTTTAACTTGGGTCTGTTGCACCAAAATGGCAGACTAAGGGATTGAGATCTTAATCATACAGGACTCCTCGGATCCAGGACTAGGAATTCAAGTATTTCTAATATTTCTTTCTTTCTGTTTCTTTAATAAATTTATTTATTTATTTTTGGCTGTGTTGGGTCTTCGTTGCAGTGTGCAGGCGTTCTCTCCTTGCAGCGAGTGGGGTCTACTCTTCATTGCAATGCACAGGCTTCTCATTGTGGTGGCTTCTCTTGTTGCGGAGCACAGGCTCTAGAGCTCAGGCTCAGTAGTTGTGGCGCACAGGCTTAGTTGCTCCGTGGCATGTGGGATCTTCCCAGGCCAGGGCTTGAACCTGTGTCCCCGGCATTGGCAGGCGGATTCTTAACCACTGCACCACCAGGGAAGCCCTCTAATATTTCTAATTCGGTATCTATGCCCCGTTTCAGCAGGAAGTTAAGATTTGGGGAAAGATAAAATTGAAGCAGGGATTAAAACCGAGTCCCTCTGCCAAGTTTATGATTAACATTTCTATCCAAAACAATTATTCCTTATCTTGTCCAACATCTGTTCTCCTCAAAACTGAGGCGTATCAAAGAAAAGGGGGGAGTGAAACCAAGCAAGACCCTGTGGGGCTCCTGGGCACAGAAGCCTTTCTGTCCCTCATTTCTTGTTTGTAGGGAACAGACTCCAGCCTCCATGACCTTCCCTGGGTTCCAAAGGGCAGATTTGAACAGCTGTTAGTCGGGAAGGGAAAGGATGGGGAGACAACGGAGCAACAGCCGAGAAACCACCTGAGGCAAGATCTGAGGAACCAGAGAAGCTCATCAAGATTAGGAGACCACCTGAGATGAGATTAAAGGAGTGCAGACCCTGCTCACACCCTAATCTTCTCAACAACCCCACCCTTGCACCATTGCTAGAAAAACTTACCAACTCCTCCTGGGTTGGGAGATAGTGTTTTGGGGCAGGAGCCTGCTGCGTCCCCCTTTGCCTGGCAAAGCAGGAAAGCTATTCTCTTCTACTTCACCTAAAACTCTGTCTCCGAGACTTGATTCAGCACTGGTGTACAGAGGCCCGAGTTTTCAGCATCACCTCTAGGCAGGGAACATTGCTAATTATGACAGGTGGGACATGTGGTAGGTTCTGGGTCATTACCCAGGCTGCTCTCCTCTGAGGATACAGTCATAGCCACCCCAATCCCCTGGCTGCTCCCTAGGGGGCTGAGGGTTCCCAGGCTTATCTGCCTTTGTTTCCCCATCTGTGCAGTGGGGGAGGTGGACGGGGAAAGGGCACGGGCTTTGAGGTCAGAGAGAGCAGACCGAGCCCTCCCTCACATGGCTGTGACCTCAGGAAAATTACCACACCTTACCTTTTGGGGCTCAGTTTCCTTGTCTCTAAAGGAGGAATAAAAATTGTACCAACCTACAAAATTAAAAAGAGGGTCATACAGAACGTGCTCTGGGCAGCATTCCCACCTGGACCCGTGGCAAATGTAGGATTAAATGGGCAATGCACCTCTGGAGCCCACATTTCCCTGTCCCCAGTTTCCCTCAAAGAAACGGGTTGCAGGGAATCAGAGGGGAGCAGGCAGGACTAGGTGCACACACAGCACACTGCCTTGCAGGGGCTCCAGGTGGCCCCGTTCCTGAGACTTCTAGCCTGTGGCTGAGGCCCAAAGAGTCCAAGCCTCCAGTGAATTAATTTTTGTCTCAGACACAAGTTGTGATCTTGAAGCAGAAGCCCTTGGCCATGGAGCAGACATTTGCCTCAGAGGTCCCTTTGGAACACAGGCTCCACACCCATCCCCTTTCCTTTGGAGACAAGTACAGAATGTGGGTGGGGGAACAGGTGTGGCTGGTTCCTCTGGTGGCCCTTAGGCCTGCAAGAGCAGCTGCTTCAGATTCGTGGGTGCAGATGGAACACTCCTCACCTGGGTGCACATGAGACACAGCTGACATCAGCTCTCTTATGAAGCTGCTTCTGAGATGTCCCTTCCCACGGTCCTGAGTTCCTGGGTGCCATCTGTGACTCTCAGCACAAAGCCCAGTAGTTCCCCAGGAGGGCAGGGGTCTGCTTGGCTGTGCAGACCTTCCTGGCACTGAGTTCTGGCCAAATCCAGGCTTTCGCCTCTGCCCTTGAGGATATTCCGAGGGATGGACAACCCTCCCAGGAACAAAGCAGGATGGGGAAGCAGCCCACAGGCCTGGCCTCCTGACCCAGCTTCTAGACTGAGAAAACCATAGCTCTGGGGGCCAGAAGGCCCCAGTTTCTTCCATAGGGCTGTGGTGGTGCATGGGGCCAGGTGAGGAGATATGCCCCCCACCTGCACCAGCCTCCCAAATTCACTGGTCTCACTGTCCAGCCCCCACCTTCCAGGCCAACTCCTCTCAATGGCAGCCATGAGACTTGTGGGGGCCATCCTCCCAGCTGCTGCAGGTGCCTTAGAGCTCACTCCAATCCCATGAGGTGATCACATTTATTCCTCCATCATCCAGAGGAAGAAACTGGAGTGCAGGGAGGTAAAGTCACTTGCTCCAAACCATCTAGCAACAGGCCATGGAACTGAGATTTGAATTCAGGTCACCCTAACTGCCTCAATCACTTTGTCCCTCCACCTAGCCTTCCAGTGTCACCACAATGAGGCTGGGGGGGGAGGGGCTGGCCTGGGGCCTGGCTCCCCAGCAAAGTTTTGCCCACAGGCATCAGCATGTCTCAATGTCCAGAATCTCCCCCAAGGAAACCCAGCCAGAAGGGGATAGTTAGGACCCAGGGGTGCAAGGCTGGTCCATCCCGGCACTCACTATGGCATCTTGGAAATGACCTTGCCCATATCACATCAAGAGGAGCTTGGGGGGGGTGTCTCTGTGAAGATCTGAAAATCCAAGTGGGCCCTGAGTGATAAAGCCCACTAGACTTCCCTATGTCTCTCCCCCACACCTACAATGCAGCCTTCTCAGGCTGCTCTACTGAGGGTCTTCTCGAGGCCCAGAGCAAAGACAGGTCCTTAAACGGCACCCCATGTATGCCCAGTCCACTGGGTGGCGGGGGGAGGCAGGGATGGTCCTGATAGAGGCCCAAGGGCTTCAAAACCACAAGTCCTCAGGGCTTATTCTGCCTTCAGCTCCTCAAAATGTGAGTCCTGTCCACCCATACTACTCCCAGGTCTCTACACAGCTGGAGTGGAAGCCCTCGTTCAGGCAGTTGGAATCTTCCAGACAGGACCACTTTGTCTTATAAGATGACAAAAGCTATATCACTCCCAGAGGGGCTCCTCCTGAAGTTGCCCCATCCATTCCTGGACTCTTTCCGAGTCAGCACCACAACCCTGTGACAGAGGCCCCAGGACTGTGTTTTCCGATGTAAGACACTGAGGGTCCGAGAGGAAGAGGCTTGCTGAGCGCCACCCAGCTGGTCAGTGATAGGGCCAAGCCCCAACCACATCTGTCTGCTAAAGAGGCAGGGCCCCAGAGACCAGAACAAATATCCAGCCCTCTGGCCTCACCAGGGTGCTCTGGGGCCTCATCTGCCAGTTTTGCAGAGGGAGAGAGGATAGAGGAGTAAGTGCCCTGGCCAAGGAAGCAGCAACCCTTCTGGATTCCAGGGGACTTGGGCGACTTGGTGTCGTTTCTCCAAACAACGCCTTCCCCTCCTGAGCTGAGAGCGCGAGACTCCAGGGCGGAATCTAGAGGCGTCCGAAGAGTCTACTCGGCATCTTTTGAGTCAGGAATCTCTAGGAGCCCGCTTCGGCCAGCGCCGCCGGCTGGCTGGCTTTGTCCGCAGTACTCCCGCCCCAACTAAAGGCCCCGAAGAGAACAAGGGGTTGGGGGCGTTTCCGCTTCGGCCTCCCAACAGGCGGGACCCTGAGGAAAGACGGCGGGGCCCGCCTTCCGGCGGCCGCTACAGGAACCCCGAGCTCCTGAATACTGAGCGGAGGAACAAACCGCGCACCCGCCCGCCTCCGGGAGTCCCCAGAAGCCCCCAGGACCCTCCGCCGGAGTCCCTCCCGAAGAGTTGCCCGGCCTTAGGGCTCTGGGGCCCTGGCGAGCCCCACCACGGCGCTCCCCCCGAGGAGCGGCGCCCGGGACGACTCGGGAGCGGTACCCTGGAACTCGGTCCGTCGGTCCGTCGGCCAGGCTCGCGTGTGCCGCCGAGAGGGCTACACGCCCGGCGCTCCTCCCGCTCGGGCTCACCTACCGTGCACCAGTCTCCGCATGTCCTGGTATCGAGCCCACAGGTGTGCGCTGGGCTCGGCGCCGCCGGCGGGCGCCGAGCGCGGGGCGCCGGGGCAGTGGGCGCCGGGACCCGGAGGGCCGCAACCAGGACAGGAGGGCGAGGACGAGGCGGCTCGCGGCCCGCCGTGGTCTCGGCGCGGCAGGCAGCGCCGAGCGGCCGCCCGCAGCCCCACACCCGCCATGCCCGCTGCGCGCCGCCCGCGCTGCCTTCAGCCCTCCGGCCCGTCCGCCGCCCTCCTACTGCGCGCCCGCCACCGTGGCCGCGTGCTCCTCACAGCGGCCGGCCAATGGGCGCGGCGCGCGGAGCCCGACTGCCAATGGGAGCGTCCCTATGTCCGGGGGGCGGGAGGTCCCGGACGGGGCGGGGCGGGCTCCCCGACCCCCTCCCCCAGTCTCCGGAGCGGCCCAGGAGGACTCTGCGCCCCTTCGGAATCTACGGTGGCGATGGCGGCTCCTTCTTTCCTCCCCTAGGGAGGCAAGCGGGCCTAAGAAAGGCCGTCCCCGCGAGGCTCCGGACGGCCAGGGCTCGGAGGGGAAAGGGCCAGAGCGCGGCGGGTCCACCCCGGCCCCCCGGTCCTCTGTCTCCCCCTCTGCTCCCGGGGCCTCCCGCCCCTTCCCCCACCTCCTGTCCTTCTGACCTCAGATCCTCTGCCCCTTCCCCCAGTCCTGCAGCGGGGGTCCTGTTCCCTGCCCCTCGCCCCTGCCGGTTCTGCCCGCGGACCAGAGACCGGCCCGTTTCACTCACGTCTCTGGCGGATAGAGTCCTTCCCGCGCGCTCCCCGCTGCCAGCCCCACGCTGGGTGAGACCTCGGGACCGCAGCGCAGCCGACGTCCGCTGAAGCAGACGTCGCTCCCTCTTTGTGCCTTACACAGATGACCTCTGTTAACTTGGAGCGAGGTGGTGGGCTAGGGGTCACTGTGCTTGCCTGGTTCCTACCTCAGCAAATGGCCGCACCGAACCGCTCCATTCCTCGCTTCCCCACGCGGGACTCTCTAGCTCTTCTAGCAATATCACCAGGATTTACAACGAAATTCCTCTTTCCTGCTGGGAACCACTCTCCACCCGCGTGTATTCCACACAGATCCATTTTCTAAGTCCACATGCGCATGTGCTCTGGGCCTTCAGCAGGCCGACCCTGCACCCGTGGGCCTTGTCGGTGGAGAGCTGGCTAGCTAGACACTGTTTCTGTGGGATGCTCCCCGCGGTGTCCTCGCCGGGTCTAAGGGTGTACATTCCAATATTCACTGCACCTTGGCTGAGGACCTACAGTGTGCCAACCCCTGGGCCAAGTGCTGGCACAGGATGGAGGCCATAGGTGGGCCCGTGGGTGGGCGGCTGCCCTCCCCACTCCCAGGGCCCCAGTGAGCTAAGTGTGCGCTGGGGGCTTAGCCATATGTAAGCCTTGTCTGGGCGGGAGATGGGTGCTCTGTGGTGTCCAGCCCGCAGAGCCACCAAGAGAAGCCAGAGTGAGCACCAAGCCAGTTGTGTGTGCGTGGTTGGGTGGGGTTGGCTCCGGGAGAAGGCAGGTTATCCAGGTTATCCAAGCTGCAGCTTGGGCCTGGCAGCTCAGCGGCGGACCCTACTACCCTTTTCAGAGGCGCTGCTTGATCTCTCTTCTTTCTTCTTGTACATTTTGTGTCCACATTACCAAACTCTCTTATTGGTTCTAAGTTTTCATTTGACTTTCTTAGATTGTCTAATAGTCCGGGAATAACGGAAAGTGCCCCATACAGGATAGCTTTTCTTAATTTTATGGTTGTTTGTCTCAGATGCTTACTTAGACTTTTCTTGTGATAATGATAGTTAGCTTTCAACAATGCACCTTATTTTTAGAAGCCTAGGCATCAGTCTCGATCTCGAAATAAATGAAAGGCGTTGCGTAATTGCATTTTAGAGCATGGTGCACTACCCGTTTAGTAGTCCATCATAGAGGGTCATCACTTCTACTAGGACTTTAAGAAAAAAGATGGCGGTGGCAGAGTAGGGGGCGCGGCCGCCAACTCCGAATACCAGCTTGCAAAGGGGAGGCCGGGAGGCGGGGCCGGACCGACGCCACGTGGGAGGCCCCGCCCCTTGGCCCGCCCTGCCTCTGGAGCAGAGGAGTCTGCGCCAGCTGGTTTAGGCCTTACTGAGCACGCGCACTCCGCCGCATTCTGATTGGCGGACCCACGCAGCCCACCGCACTCAGATTGGTGGAGCCGCTCCACATTCTGGGTCCCGAGCTCAGCGCTGCTCCTTACCCGTTCCGCTCCTCACCTCCTTGGAGGTGGCCCAGGGCCGGGATCGCACGGCCACCTGGCCGCCGGACTCAGCAAGGACGGGCAGGACGGCTTCGGCTTCATCCGGGAGCTCCAGTCCAGGGGCTGGGACAGCTCCCGTCGCTCTTCGTTCCGCCGTACCCTTCTCCACGACAGCGGTCCGGCATGTTTTCCAGGGCCCAGGTGAGGCGGGTTCTGCAGCGGGTGCCCGGGAAGCAGCGACTCGGCGTCTACAGGTTCCTGCCCTTCTTTTTTGTCCTGGGAGGAACGATGGAGTGGATCATGATTAAAGTGCGCGTGGGCCAGGAGACCTTCTGTAAGTGGGGGTGCAGCAGCCTCTGTTTCATTTCAGGCAGGCGGGAGGCGGCGAGGGAGCCGTTTTCCTGGGGGCTGTTCTCAGCTTGTAGACCTCTCATTCCGCTCAGCGCTGAGCTGCTTTTACCCTGGTCAGAAGGGCGAGTGCGGTTCCCTTCGTTGGGCGGTGGAGATCCGCCTGCGCTCTCCTGTAAGCGGGGCGACAAAGGCACATTGGTATCCGATCTTGAGACCTTCCCTGCACTTTGAGAGGAGGGCACGTGACTCCACTCAGGACGCCCTCCTTTCAAGCCTGCCCTTCGGCCATGCCGGTGACACTTTTCGGGCCTAAGGAATAGACTTCTCACAGCACCTAGAGGCGGGTGGGATCTTGAGGATTCATGGAAGTTCCTAACTGGCCAGTCCAAACCCTAGAGAGAACTTGGTTGGCCCGGCTTAGCTAAATACTACTGTCTTTACTGGCCAGAGTCATTGGTACCAATGCCCAGCACTACAAAAAGTGTGTCTGGCATTGCTTTGCTGAGCACTAGCCTGGACAGGCTAGTTCCTCTTCCAGGAAGACTTCCCTAACCCCTAGGCCCTTTCTGCTTTCTCCCTCTCCAGAAACACAATCACTTGTGAATCACCAACCCTCATTTTTTTTAAAAAAAGTGCTTTCTAAAGATATTTAATCCTCCTGTGTTCACCCATTCCTTCATATTTAATGAGCACTGATGAGAGGATGTAAGGCGGAGGGCCCCCACACCAGAAGAGCACTAATGGGAGAGACAGATCATACAGTTACTATTAAGTGTGATCACTGCTGTGGGGGGAAAGTTGGGGGAGCATGGGAGTCCTGGGTGGGGCACCTGAATTGGACTAGGTGGTGCAGGGAAGGCTTCCTGGAGGAGTTACCATGTCAGGTAGGGTCCGAAGATTGAGTAGGTGTCAGCCAGAAGAGGGAAACGTTTATGGACTTGAAAGTGTCTTCTGCCAGTGGTAAGAGCAAACCTTGGGGCCTTGGTGTGAAAGTATGCTGCTGTGTTTCAGGGACTGAAGCAGGTGAGCAGAGTGAGGGATGACGTGGTTAGAAAGGTGCCTGGGCAGGGCCACAAAGGGACTGGAGAACCAACAGTGTATCCCAAAGGGCTGAAGAGTTTTAAGCCGCAGCTGGTGAACATATGTGGAGAATGCTTTCTTGTGGAGGGCGGATTGACAGGAACACTTAGGCTGTGTGGTTGTCCAGATTTGAGATGGTGGCCTGGACTAGGGTGAGATGCCAAGAAGTGGGCGGAGTTGAGAGACACCCCAGAGGTAGTACTGACAAGGGCTTGGTGATTGACTGGACTCAGGAAATGAGGAGTGGCGGCTTCTGGTAGGGCAGCTGGAGCAGGGGGAACACAGGCAGGACAGTCCTGGGCTCCATTTTGGACGTGCTGAGGGGGGAGATGGTTATACAGAACTGAAGCTCAGAAGGCAGATCTGGGCCTCAGATCTAGGTTTGTGGGTCACTCACAAGCTGATTGTGATGAAAGGGTTTAAACCCCAACATTTTAAGGGTGACTGAGAGTGACCAGAGAGGCAAGAAGGGAAACATGAAGGGCTTGTTATCACAGAAGACAGGAGGTTCAGGAAGTTCAACTAAGTGAATGGGAGGTAAGCCCCCTCTCCCCTACCAGGAGAGACTTGAAATATGCAAGTACTGATCAGAAAAGAGAGGGTGGAGAGAGGCTGGAGATACCTTGGCCCTTGAGAAGGTGGGAGAGGATGGGACCAGAGCAGGGCAAGGAGTAGCCCTTGGAAGTCAGCTGGAAGAGTTCTTTACTGATGACTTTTCTCTGCGAAGAAAGAGTTCATGGCCATTTCGGGGTGGGTAAAGTAGGGTCAGGGCCATGGCTGAAGAAACAGGACTGCCAGGCATCACAGTGGACCCAGTTAGATGCAACAGTTGGGCCCACAGTGCAAAGCAAGCAGAATGAGGCATGGAGAAGTAAGTTGGATTAATCTGTAGTTTGGGTTTTGAAGGTATATCAAGAAGTTGATATTGATGAGAGGGAATTTCAGCTGATCTGGGCAGGAAGAGAGGACAAGGGCCTGAGGAAGTTGGTGAAGGTCCAAGGACAGAAAGGTAGTAGAGGTTGTGGTCAGAGCAGAATGAACTTATTGCTTCAGAGGAACACTGCAAGCAGATGGTAGAAGTTGAGAAGTAAGGAAGATGAAGGGGGCTGGTGCTTCATCTCTGTTGGGGGTGGTGTTGCCTGGGAAGATGGCACAGGACAGGGTCAAGGAACCTGAACTAGATGCCAGCATTTTCAGAGACTGAAGGGGAGTGATGGACAGCAGGTACCAGTGCAGAGAAGATGGTGGCAAATGGCATAGGACCCAGAGGAAGAAGGTGGAGAA